GGAAATGGAATGCGTCGGCCCATACGCTAGATAAGGAAGCTCTGTTTATAGCTGATTGTAGGGAATGAGTGATCGCCCCCTTCTTTTCTTTTTGGTCTAATCTGGTTAGATGTTTCCAATTAATTAATAAAGGCTATGTTTTCTTCATAAAAAATAAAAGTAAAAACGGATAATTGTATTTTTTTTTTTTGTTAAATTTAAATGTTTACATGAAACGTAAAAAAATAATAAATAAATAAATAAAAATAAAAAGCTAGAACCAATTCAACCAAGAAACTGTTAGAGAAGATTTAATATATTAATTGAATTGTTTAGTTTTAATTAAAATTTTGGTTGGATCCTATCTCGATCTGTAAAGGGTTTTGTTCTTTCTATTTGTATGAATGATTAGTAAATAATTTTGTGTAGTTATATCATCCACTTAAAATCTATTTTGCATCAGTTGGTTTTAGTTACAATTCTCTACTAGTATTCCCTGTGTGTTAGTTATGTTATTTCCTGTGGTGGGTCAAATGATGACATCACTAATATTTTTTTTGTTCTCATTACGTATGGAATATATTTTATAAAAAAATTTAAATTGACCCATCAAAATATATAAAATAATTAAGGTTATATTGAGAAATTAAAACTTATACTTACTTTTTATATAATATTTTCTGTATTCTTGTAAATTTAATGGTGATTTACGTAATATTTTTTTCTATTGTTACAAATTTCAATGGTCTCTAATAGTGAATATAATAATAAATATTGAATTTGCTGAATGAAATGCTGGTTTAATCACATGGCAGCATTTTAAAAATTAAAAAAAAAAAAAAAAAAACAAAATTCCTAGCCCAGATGAGAGCAGGAAAAAATATATATCTTGTTTTATGATTAGGGCTAACTAGTTTCCTAATCCCACCGGCATTGGAATTAGGTTATTCTATATATGTATGCATTTCTCATAGTTTTCTAAAATTAAAACATATATGTGCATTGGCCACACTTTGATGGTTTACACCTACTCTGAAAATATAATAATAATGTGTGAGAAGGAAAATAGCGCAATGGAGAGCGTCTGTTCAACAACTACTCATCCGCAGGCCGCCGTGAATCCTCCTCTCTCCGCCTCTGTTTGGTGTTTGAATGATCAAGAACCGCCCGTTGTTCTTGCTCAGCCAGTACCCAATCATCATCAAGAAATTACGAAGCTTATGCTTTTTTCAGGATCAGATCATTAAGACCACCCCACTCCCACTCCCACTGCTCTAAGTGCCCCAACAATTGAAGATTATTATTTGGCGAGCAAGAATGATGGAGATTTGGCAGAGCTCATTGACGCTGCTTCCTCCTTCTCCCTCTCCCTGTTCCCGCCAAACAAGAATCGCAAAACCAAGAAACCCATCAGGAATCATCATCGTCGGGATTTTGATGATCTTATTGACGCTGCTTCCTCCCTCTCCCTGTCCCTGCCAGCCAAACGCAAACAATCGATAATTATTGGTCCCAAGAAACCACAAAATAATTCGATACAAGTAGAGGAGGAGGACGAGGGAGTGATCGCCAAGAAACAGAAGGTGGTGGATAATCATCATCAACACTGGATACATAAGCGCCTAAGTACAAGTGATGTCAACCTTTCATCAAGGCTGTTGCCTCTTGATACGGAGTCTGCAACACACACGGCGAGTATTAACTTACCACTTCGCCGGTCAAACCGTAATCGCAAGCACAAACAGGATGATTCATTTATTTATGGGTAAATCAATGGTTCGGCAGATCGCTAGAGCAAACAATCACAGCTATGCATGCATGGAAGATATAAATGGTCCTTAACAAATTCCCTTGAGCAAAGCAATCGTCTCTTTGAAGCTATTTCCTCTAGTTATTTACTTTAAATTATGTTATTTAATTTTTGTTCTTTTCCAGTAGCAACATGTACCTTTAAATACACGTAGCAACATGTACCTTTAAATGCAATGAGAATTATCACTGGTTTCTTTCTTTCATTGTCTTTGGTTTAATCTTGGAGTTGCCTACACTCGAAGTACGAATTGAAGTGGAGTCTGTTCTTGCTCAGAAAAGAATATTTGGATACCAAGGCGTATCAACTAGTGCTTTCATCCCGAACTCAACACCTCAGACCAAGTCCCGGTTGAGGACCAGATCACAGACCTTCGAAATCAACTACCGGAGCAGGCCCTTTTTCAACACCAAACAACTCAAGTTCTGCAACATTCCATCCAACAACTTGCTCAGTGCATTGAATCTATAAAACTCTCTGTACCTCACCATTGATACTCTCTTAGTTAAGGCATAGCCTCATACATCATATCCTAATCTGTATACTATCATTCATAGTACTCTTCGATCTTCTTCTGATCTTCCTCTTCCTGATACTGCCATTCATCATATTCTTCTTATTCTTCCTGATATTATTATGGAGTACATTTTTTAGTCCCTTCATATTTGCAAACGAACCAGACAAATATCATAAAAAAAATCATCCAAAATAAATAAATAAATATAAAATGAGCAGGCAAAATATGAATGCTAAACATGCAAACAAGTGTATGTATATTAAATTAAGCCTTGCCTCGTCTTCTTCTTCTTCTTCTGATTCTACTGTGTCTTTATACTGTGATTCATCATAGCAATTGGATCAATAATGCAAAAAAGGCACGAAACCAAGTGAGAAAAGAAATATTTAACAGATTTTGCAAAGAAAATAAACAAAAGCTAGAATGAATGAGAAACAGATATATGGAACATACTCGCAAATCCTTGCGGTCAACAATAACTTTGCAAAATCTGTTGTGCCGCCTCATCTCTTCTTGACACCTCTTGGCAGAAGTGGCAACCGAATGAGGACATTGCTCCAACGTAATTGAACACAACGGGTGCTTTATTGCGCGTACAAGAGGGATCTCTTCTAAAGAATAACAACGTTTTAAGAATATCTTCCCTGAGCTTTTGGAAATGATTACTAGTATTGGCCACCCATGGCTCAAGACTTCTGATTTCAACCTCCAATTCATTTAATTCAGGGAATCCTCCTTCAACCACTTCACATACTTTTCCGTAGAAAGCATTCTCTAGTTTCAGCACCTTAAGCATGGGTAACTGTCCAATTACAGATTAAACCTTCACTGAAAAATTAGTCCCACTCAACCTCAACTTCTTCAATTTTGCAGGAAAACCAACCCGCTCTAAAACGGTTATACTACCAACTCGAACCATAACCGTTAGAGTCCTCAACCTCACTAAATCCTCTAAATTCTCCAGAATGATGATAGGATTTCTGCAAAATCGTCCACCACTGCAACTAGGCACTAAGACGTCTTTATACACAACTTTTAATTTTCTTATGCTTGGACGCCTTTAACAGTAATACACTTTGAACCGCCGTCTATACATACTTTTTAAGGTCCAAATTATATGTATAGATGGCGGTTCCTCAAGAAAACCGCGGTCTATACATATAATTGTTGAGATTACAGGGCATACATTGTAAAATTAGACGGCGGTTAGCAACCGCCGTATATATGAAGTATACATGAACCGCCGTAGAAAGTCTTTATTTACAAAGGCGGTCACTTACAGGGCACTTCAAAAACCGCCAATAAAAATAACCGCCGTGATAGGTGTATTTTGTAGTAGTACTTCTTTTTTCCTGTAATGAATTGACATCGCACAAATCAATGTTTGCAAATTCTCGTTTGAGCATTAGAGATTCACACAAATATAAAATTCTTAAATGTTTGAAAGGTATAAACCTATCAAAACCTTCTTGAAAGACGAAAAGGGATCGAGGAATATTTGAACTGAACAACACATGATAGTTCAAACTATGTGAGCGTAAACTTAACCAGCTACATGAATTTGTGAGTATGTCTAATGTCCATCCAATACACTGTTGAGTATTTGCTGCACATAAAAGACCTCTTTTTGAACTTCGATCTCGTACGCACTAGTGAGAAGACTGGCAGCTTTCTTCTCACTAGCAATTGGAATACAGAGAATCGAAACAAGTTATATAAGATAAGTTGGGATACATGGGAAAGAATTAGTTGGATAATTGGTATAGTAACTACAAGCTTTCAAGTTTGACTCTCTATGAGAGCTGTCTATCGACCTTCATGGTTTAAACAGCTTATTATTATATTTCTTCCAATTAGACGCATTTAAATTGGGCATTTGGTCTAGTGGTATGATTCTCGCTTAGGGTGCGAGAGGTCTCGAGTTCAATTCTCAAAATTCCCCATTTGAATACGTCGACTATTGACGTAACCTCCGAAAAAAATCATACTGTAGTATTTTGTTCAATTAAGTCATGTACTTTAATTTTAATCCATGCACTTTAAAATTTAGAACAATTGAGTCATGTACTTTAATTTTAATCCATGCACTTTAAAATTTAGAACAATTAAGGACAATACTTAACATGTTTATTTTCTCCGTTAAGTTTGCCCACGTGGCGTTGGATTCGCCATGTCAGATTTTGTGACGTGGCATTACAATATGGTTTTCGAACAAAAAAGACTAAGGATTCGAACCTAAAACTTCTTGTCTTGCCTAAAGAATGAGTTCAATCTCCACCACCAAGATACATATTAATCATGTTATAGAATAGTTAAAATTTTATAATAAGAGTTTTTCGTCAGAAGTACTAAAGTATAAAAAAAAAAAGGAAAATATATTATGTGATGAATGAATATTTGACTTACTATTTAAGATTTAGAGTTAACCTCTAATAGTCATCCGAGTATTAACCATATACCAGCTGTGGTCATCCGACTTTTAAACGATCACAAGACGTTCTCTAAGTTTTAAAAAGTTACCACCCGAGGTCCGGGGTCCTCCGTTACATATGCTGTCAAATAGGTGTTAAGTTGGAGGGCAAACTTGTCATTTCTCATTTAAGAGTTTTTTAAAAGAAAAAAAAAACTAATGGATGCGGCGTTGCTGTCTTTGATAATTTCAGAGGGAGATTCTGCAGGGAGCACACTACTACCGGCGTTGTTGTCTCCAGCAGCGGTGGACCCTTTGAAACCGGCGACAGGGTAGCTAATCTGCTAAATGTGAAGCTAGAAGAACACAATAACAACAATGCCTTATATTTGTCAAGAAACTTTATGGAAATGTCAATAAATGATCAATTCTAGAGTGGCAATAATGGCTTCTCAGCAGTTCTGCCTGGTTATGCTTCTTCCATTGGCCGACTTTTGTGATTTCTCTTCTTCCTCAAAAACCCTACTTATTAAATTTATACAAAAAAAAAAAGTGTTGAGTTTGTCTCATATATAGATTAGGAATAAGAGTTTGTCTCATACTAGAAGTAGGAGTGAAACAGGTAGACCTATTGCACAGGGATTAGATGCCTATAAATATATTGGTTGTATCCTTAATGAGTTGTGTCACCACTATCATCATCACTATGAATAAGAGTATTGTTTCACTCCCGTGGATGTAGGCACATTGCCGAACCACGTAAATCTTGCCTTCTTTACCTTTTCTGCCATTGTTATTGTTTCTTGTTCTTGTTAATCTCAACAAAAAGGTTTTCTGAAACATAATCTGTAGATTGGGAAGGATCAAAGAAGACAATTAATAAATCTCAATCTACTGGGAAGATGTGTTAAAACTCTCTCCTTTTTTTTCTTTTTTTTTTTTCTTTTCTAGTGGTAGGCTGAAACCCAAGAGCTAGACCCGAACCCACCCCCGGATACGAGTTGATCAAAACCGGATCCACCATCGCCGAGGTTTGGGGTAGGAAAGGCCCCGCCGCCCAAACCGCCACCAAGAAAACCCAGCCCCCCCGCCGAACCCAGATCCCTTCTCAACATATTTGTAGGAAACCCATCCGGGACCTCCACCTATAGCTTCAAAGAGCGATGAGCCTCCAGAAAACCCTCCATAGTTAGACCCCATTTCGATTCCACCTACTCCGGCTTCGAAGCCATTTCAGAGCTATCGGGAAGGCCTCCCATGGCGGACCCCATTTTTTTTCTTTTAAAAAAATCTGAAATGAGAAATGACAAGTTTTCCCTTCAACTTAACACCTATTTGACAGAAAATGTAATGGAGGACATCGACTGGTAAATTTTTAAAACATGGAGGACGTCTCATGGTCGTTTAAAAGTCGGATGACCACAGCTCGTATATGGCTAATACTCGGAGGACCATTGGAGGTATTAACTCTAATATTTAAGTTCTCAACACTCTATCAAACAAGTATTTTTAGCTTATAATGTGCGTAAAAGTTTATGATTTTTTTTTTTTTTTTTTTTTTTTTTTTGCATAGACTAGTTCAAAACTTTCTGTATTCTGGTGGTGAGCTTGGTTCTCACGTGCAGACAAATAGTCATTATTACAAATTTTTAACTATCTTATAACAAGATTAATGTGTAGCTTAGTGCTTGAGCCCTCATTTTTAAGCAAGAAGTACTGGGTTCGAATTCGTTGTTTTTTTTGTTCAAAAATCATATTGTAATGCCACGTTACAAAATTTGACATGGCAAATTCAACGCCACGTGGGCAAACTTAACGGAGAAAATAAACTTCCGATCTCTACGCATTTCACCGCTCCACCGGAAATTCCCTCTGCCCCTACCGTACTCCAGCTTGGTAGTTTCCACCGAATGTCCAGGGTTGAGCCCTGGGATTTGACGGCGGATTTAAATAGCCACCTACAGACGCTTTATGCCCAATCATTCCGAATAACGCTTGCATCCTCTATATTACCGCGACTGCTGGCACAGAGTTAGCCGATGCTTATTCCCCAGATACCGTCATTTCTTCATCTCCGGGAAAAGAAGTTCATGACCCGTGGGCCTTCTACCACCACGTGGCATTGCTTCGTCAGGCTTTCGCCCATTTCGAAAAATTCCCCACTGCTGCCTCCCGTAGGAGTCTGGGCCTTATCTCAGTCCCAGTGTGGCTGATCATCCTCTCGGACCAGCTACTGATCATCGCCTTGGTAAGCTATTGCCTCACCAACTAGCTAAACAGACGCGAGCCCCTCCTCGGGCAGATTCCTCCTTTTGCTCCTCAGCCTACAGGGTGTTAGCAGCCGTTTCCAACTATTTTTCCCCACCCAAGGGCAAGTTCTTACGCGTTACTCACCCGTCTGCCACTGGAAACAGCACTTCCCGTCCGACTTGCATGTGTGAAGCATGCTGCCAGCGTTCATCTTGAGCCAGGATCGAACTCTCCATGAGATTTATAGTTGCATTACTTATAGTTAAGTATTGTCCTTAATTGTTCTAAATTTTCAAGTACAGGGATTAAATTTAACAAATTAAAGTACAATGACTAAATTGAACAAAACACTACAGTACGGGGACCTAGCAGGTACTTTGACCGAAATAGTATACTACGTCATTTAATAGACGGCGGTTTTTTAAATAACCGTCTTCTAATATATACTACGTCAGTGAGGTATTTAAACAACCGCCGTATATACTTAAATTAATTAATTTTTTTTATTTCTTGGGTGGTGAAGTCAATCTCACGGATCTACCAGATTGAGCACTCCATAAAGAGGTTACGTTGAACTAGCGACGTTAAACTTAGTGCTTCATGCGAGGCGCCCCATGTTTCTTTCATATTGCATATTTATTGCTTTCTATTATTTTCGTCTAGTTAGTCATTTATTTAGCATATTTTAGTTCGGGTTGTTTGATTGCTTTTTATCTTTCTTTTTTCTCTTGTTCTCCTAATCTTTTGTTTTGCATCAGGGACGATGCAAAATTTTAAGTGTGGGGGAGGAACCAAAAATTTGGGGTAATTTTCAAAATTTTTGCTTGGATGACTCAGTTTCTCTTTGTTAATAAGTTACTTGTCATAACATGCAGTTACAATTATTCTCTCTTCCTGGTTTGTGGTTTGTTATAGTGGTACTTGTTGCAATTCAATTTGTGATTGATGATTTGAGGTGTAACACATGATTGATCTATTCTCTTGCCAATCGTCTTGTTAACCACTCATTAATTGGATTAAGGGAAAATTGTAAAAAATGCCCCTCTATAATAGGCTAATTATTAATGTCACCCCTGAATTATGAGTGGTGTAAATGTTGCCCCTCAATTATTAAAACGGTGCACATATAGCCCCTCCCGTAACGGACTTGTTAATCCACGTTAGTCTACACCGTGCCGGCGATCCTTCATCACACCTCACCCATCGTCTTCTCCCCCGCCGCCGCCACCGTTTCCGGGTCGACGGTTTTGCCGACGATGATCAATAATGGCGGCGCCATCCCTTTTCAGTTCCCGCTGCTTTCTACTGCTTCTTATGCGTCGTCTTTGTGGACTGTAAGGACAAACAATGTGCACTATAAGGTCAAACAATATGCACTATAAGGCTAAACAAAGTGCATTGTAAGGCCAAAAAATGTGCACTGTAGGACCAAACAATGTGCTCTGTACAATGTTGTAAAAATCAGCCTAGGCGCTAAGCGCCCCTAGGCCGTTCCGCTTTCACTGTTAGGTGCCAAAAAATCAGCCGGCCGCCTAGGCGGTGAAAACGGCCGAAATCAATCAAAATCAGCCTAGTCGGTCGATTTAGTCCGATTTTGACCGATTTCGTCCGATGTCGTCTAGTCCATCCATCCGTAGACTAGTTTGATACTTTGAATCTTTTGATGATTGAAGTATTTGAGTATTTTTATTTTTTAATATTGTTTTGAGTATTTCATATTTGAGTATTTCTCAGACACACATGCACGCACGCGCGCACACACACAGACGAAATATATATATTAGCAAATATTTTGAAAATATATATATAATTCAAGAACTATATATATAACGAAAATAAAGGGATTTATAATCTTATGAAAATAATCTCAACCAACATATATAAATATATAAATATATAAATAAAGGGATTTAAATTTTATAAAAATAATGCGACCGAACAAGAAAAGGAGAAGAAAGAAAAGGATCCAAGTTGTGCGAAATACACTTTCCTTAAAACCAATTTGCTTGCTCCCGGGGGTGCTATGAGCACTGTAGCGTTAGTCTCCCAAGATAAAATGTACTCAACGATATTATAATTCGAGCTATAGACTTTCGCCGAACTTGAACAGACAACTTGAACCCAAGCTATTTGTAGGAATGAAAGGGTAGAGAATTTGGAGGAAGAAGACCATGTTTTTAGGAGAAGGAAAAATCTTATTTTCTTGGCTACAAAATTTGTCCAAACACATAGGATTGTATAGGGATGACATAAATCCTAGCAATAAAATGGTTCATAAATTCAATTTAATAATCGGATTATAACATTTGAAATCGTTATACTTATTATCAAAAATAATATTTGCGTTACAAAATTATGTACAAATAATTCATATCGATCATTAATAATATGTTTGAAAAATACTTGGATGATCAAGAAGTCCGTACAGTGTAAAGAGTAAGCTGACTCGTCGGACCTTTCGGAATTAACCGAAGAGTCACATGAAAATGCAATACCATGGTGCTTAAAAATTGCAGTGCTCGTGCACCAGGGTGAAAAACTGCTCTTTTTACTCTTGGTAATTATTATTCATGCACTCTTCGTACATACGACCCAAATCGAAAGTGGATCCACATATATTTGTACCACAAAATAGCCACTCAAAAATGTCATTTTAGATAAAGTTTTCAAAAATCCCCACATGAATGAAAATTGATTTTCGGAACTGAAAAACGACACGACTGTGTTCAACAGTCGATGCCTGCATAGGATAGGTAGGTGTTAGTTACCCTTTGACCCTTTCCTTGTGAAGATATGTTTACTCTACTGGTTGTCCGGTAGAACGCGATGTCTTTAAACCGTAGTGCCGTTTGTGTAGACGATGACATATCCACATAGGAACCTTCCAACCTTTGTTCTGTTATCATGGGTGTGCCCGTTTTGGCCATGGGTCACCTTTCTGGTTCTGCAAGAGTTTCTAAAGAATTGAGCTCAATCAATTCTCCTTTGAAACGGTCCCTTTTCTGTCTTACATATGTGATTCTTTTCCGAGTATCCCGCATATTGTGTAACTGTTATTTTTGTAATATAAAAGCTAAGCCCCTATGACAGTAGAGGAGACACAGTCTAAATCTTGTACTGATCAAACTCTGGCAATACAACATCAGTACTTGATTACATCTTTCCTAATATAATCCGATAACATATTTACCATCAGCTATGATTTAATTTGAGATTTGTAACCTTGTTGTGGTGTATGATCTTTTAGATTTGCCTTGTTGTGTATATGACTGAGATCTTAGTTGTAGTATGAACTCTTTATCTTACAAGCGCTTATTAATATTTGGTAGTGGTAATTTTTTCCCTACATGTTTCATGTGTTGTCATAGATTATCATGTGACAATATTGAATAAAATATTAGTATTTATTATATTTCTATAAATTACTTGGTAAATAAATATATAACATATTTTGTATTATAACTTTGATATTCAATATTACAAGATAATGTAACAAGAAGACAATGGACAATGTAGTGAATATAATTAATTAATGAATTTGAAGGTAAATAAACTTTGAATTGTAGAAAATAAAGATAATATAACTAATGAAATTATATCTCTTTTTAAAAATTTTAGAATGAATATTTTTTTTTAATAAAGGCATTATAGACATCTAATTCTAAATTAATTAAATGTATATGTATTATTTTTCTGTTGTAACTACCAATTTATTTAATTTCATAAGAGTAATAAAGTGGCGTACATACTTTTCATCCACAACATTGAAGTCATTGATTTTTTAATTTCCATTCGTTGTTGAGTCAAATTATTTTGGGAGTTTGTCAATGACAATTGCTAGAATTGTTGTCGAATGATAATAAATAATTCGAAATATATGATTACAATAGATATTGTTATAATGATATAGTCAAAATTGACTTACAACTTTTTTTAGAAGTTTTCATACATTTATAAAATTCAGAGAATGATGTGTAAACTTATTCAATTTGAGCCAATGGGATGCAATATTGTCAATTCTTTGGAAAATGGTCATATCGTTTTAGAGTCCAGGTGTAATTGTATTTCTGATCAACAACTTTGTAATTAGGTCGCGTCTGTCTGACAATGATGTAAGAACAATTTTATCCGATAAAAAAATAATAATTTAATATTTGTAAAGTAACATACAATTGTACCGTTATAAAAATACATACAAAAAATGTTAATACCATAATGACCTAAATCATTATAATAATGCAAAAGCATAATTGAAATATTGAGTTATGTTCTAAATAATCAAAAGAAGATTACTTAAACGAAAAAAAAAAAAAAAAAAAACTTGACCTAATTTTTTTTTTTTTAAAAAAAATGCAAGAAAATGATTTTCAGAGTTCATGATTTATAATCTTGGAATGCTTTGTATTTTGTCGGGCTAATTATTTGACAAAAGTTTTTGTTAAATTTTATATTGTATTTAGTTTTTTAATACTCCGTATATTTTAACATATTCGTAGTATATGTTTAACAATTATGCCCACTCTGATTGGGATGAGGTTCGAACCTAAGACCTTTCTTATAGAAAGTAATGAGTAAGTTAAAATAAGAGTTAATTACCAAAATGGTCCCTTGACGATGACATATCCCACACAGGAACCTTCCAACCTTTGTTATGTTCTCATGAGTGTTCCAGTTTTGGCCATGGGTCACTTCTTGGTTCTGCAAGAGTTTCTAAAGAATTGAGCTGAATCATTTCTCCTTTGAATCGACCAATTTTCTCTCTTACATAGGTAATTCTTTTCGGAGTATCACGCATACTCGTACGTGTAAAGCATCAATGTGCTAGTCTCGTTCGGGAGTCACTATTCTAACGAGAAGTGGTAGGGAGTCTGGGGCCCATGGTGATACGCTTCGTTCCATAATTTAGTTCTCCCATTGAACTTTGGCGTGAGACCCAAAAATACTTTTCTACAAAACTCCTATTCTATCAAATAACAAAATAAAATTATTTGTATAATTTTACTCCGACGATAATTTTTCCAAATGGGTGTGTGAATAAAATATTTTAAAACTCTTTTCTTCAAATGATTTAATACAAAATATTTATATATTTATTTATGGCTTTCAAAGCCCTATTTTAGAGAAATATTTGTTATATAAAAACTTGAGCCAAAATTCTATCTGAGACGAACCTGTGAACCTGATAGCCAAGTTTTTTACCCAAACTTGATTTCAAAATGAACCTAACCTAATTCTATATT